ACAATTCAAAAATTTTATATGTCACATTTTGTTCGTCGGTCACCAATCAAAAATTTATACTTCACAATTTATTTATCGGTCACAAATCACAAATATTATAAGTCACAACTTATCAGACAGTCACAAATTTTCAATCACAAATTTTATATGTTACAAATTATCTTATGATCACAATTCAAAAATTTTATAAGTCACAAATCAAAAATTTATTTATCGGTCACAAATCACAAATATTATAAATTACAACTTATCATACAGTTACAAATTTTCAAATTATCGGTCACAAATTAACAATTTTTTAGATTACACATGATTTCTTGGTCAAATTTTTTTTTTTCATTTCTCACATATTGTTTATTGGTCACATATTAACCAATTTAATGGTCTCAATCAACCAAATAATTTGTGATAACAACCAACACTTGTGATCACCACCTCACTACTTCCTCCACCAGAACCACCACCACCTCTTGACAGTAACACTATCTCAAATAAATCAACACATCACAGCAAACACCACTACATCGCTGCGCCAGATGCACCACCTCAACAGACCCATCGCAACCAACATCCAACCACCACCACCACCAACTCACCAATACCACAGCCAACGTTATTAGTCACCACCACCTCCACCCAACTACCACCAAAAAATTAGATCTAAAATTGTCAGTCACACAACATTGAACCGCCATCATCTTAGCCCCAACCCTATACAGACGCATCACAGCCACCACCAACAAAGTCCCACAACGCAACACACCACCAATGCTACCAACACCATTGCATCGCTACCACCATGCGGTGCTTTGCAGATCGCTGCAGGGACAAAGTCCTTGCAGCGGCTGTGCACGTAGATCACTAGGGTGCTGGCGATAGGCGGGCAAATCGCTGTCAATGGCGGTGCGCGATCTGGAGCAGTGCTGCTTCGACGTCTTCGCGTCTGGCGACTACGGTGAGGTACAGAGAAGGGGAGGCAGAGTAGAGAGAGTGTGTGTGTGGACTGAAAATGGGGAAGAAGATGAATATTAGGGTTTGTGGGTATGGGGTATATAATTAATTTAATTTTATAATATTATTATTTAATATTAAAAAATTGTATTTTCATCTGATTTTTGTATATATAAACGGGTTAATTTCAAAATTGTCACTGAAATTCGAAACTTGCATAAACGGTCACTCAACTTTTGGTCACTTTCAAAAATGGTCACTGACCAAAATTAAGGGCCTAATTTGTTCTAATTGAAACTGACATTAACAAACTGAGGCCCCTTCAAAATTGGAGGGGCTCAATTGCAATTTACTTTGGAATAAACATGAAATTGACGCCTCTACCTATTTTTTTGGCCTTTTTTGTTTTATTTTTTTTTTATTTCATAATAAATAACTTGTTTTGCTTATTTCTCCATAGAATTTATCAATTTCTCCTTAGAATTTATTCTACAAAAAACTAGAATTAATATTCGAGTATTATAAAACACCAATTTCACCATAGCAATTTACATCACAACTTCATAGCATACAACAACTCACATAATTCCACATTTCACCAAGAGAAATTGTGTTTCCCCAGACTTCAACATTCGCTATAACAATGTAAATTACAGCTTCATCACATAGAACGATTCAAAATGACCATTTTCACCCAAAAGAACTGTGTAAAGAAACACACAGCACATAATTTGCCCAGAACGTGCGATTTCTGGCCAAATACTGTGATCTGCTTTCTGTACCCGGGGATAAAAAAATAGAGTTCGTTGACAAAAAAAAAGTAATAGACTTCAACCGACGTCATTTTGTCATAAGTTGTTCCATGCTTCGCTAAGAGTTGGCGTCGAGTTTGAACTTCCACTACCTCCTGGCCTTGGCTTAGGCTGGGAAAGAAAATGTCGTGCTGCACCTTGTTCAATTCCAGCATCAACAGTAGTGGGTTGTAAATAGACAAATCGCTGTCCAAAGTGTAAATTTTAAACATCACTCTATCATAAATATAAAAAATGATGATATAGAATACTAAAATTTTACCTCATTGGTTTTGTAGCTTGCCGGTGAAGCATGATTCGAGTGATATCTTTTATTGTGTCCATTTTGATGGCAAAAACTACACTTCAATCTCTTCTTGCCATCACCTCACTTATCAATTTTTTTCATCTTCTCCTTTGACAATACAACTTCCTCAACCCCTCTTCGGCTTTTTGTCTGTTTCCTGCCTCTTTTTTTGGTTACCCAAGTGGGGGGTTTAACTGGGTTGAAACCATTAGAAGGCCACATTTTTGGTCCATTTATCGGGTATATGCAATTCTTGTAAGCTTTTACGTAAGTTGCAACTTTGTAGCTCTCATCCACAAACTGCGAGGGATCCTTACCCCACTCACGGATCGGCTATTGCGTGTGGACAAGGCACACCAGTTAGATCCCACTTTCTACATGAGCATGTCCTCCTTTTTAAATCTACCACAAACTGACCATTAGAATACGGTCCAGAAATTTGAAATTGTGTTTCCCCATTGAATATTGCTTTCCACGAGTAAGAATCACGTGTACTAATTTCAAGTTTCTTTAAAATTTTTGGACATATATCGCTATGACTCCTTGCCATCAAATCACGGCGTTTGTACATCCGTACCATCAACTTGTTTTGAATTGTCTGAAGGAGAGTCAATATATCCTTCCCCCTCGCTTCTTTTATGTAGTTGTTAAAGCATTAACAGAGATTGTTTAACAGAATGTCGCACTTTGAAGCCGTCATGAAATGGGACTTCGACCATTGCTCAGGGACTTTGTCACATAACCACTCCCAGGCAGTTTCCTTCTCCTCCTTAATTTTATCCATCCAATATGTAAACTCTGCCAAATAAGTAGACTTAGCTGCTCTCCACAACAAGTCCCTAAGTTTCAGTTCTTTAAAGTCTTTGCAAAAGAAGTTGGAGTACAAATGCCGTACACAAAACTGATCCTCAGCTATTGAAAACAACTAGGAAACCATATTCTCCAACCCTTTCTGTCTATCAGACATAATAGTGACTCCATATGCATTTTCGAGCATCAAATCTTCTCCCAACAGTTTCAAAAACCATGACCAACTAGCATTACTTTAAGTTTCAACAATGGCATGTGCAATTGGGAATATACGATCATTACCATCAATACCTACCGCAGCAAGTAATTGACCACTAAAATTGCCTTTCAAGAAGCACCCATCTATGCAAATAACGGGTCTACAACCACCCAAGAAGCCCTTTTTGCAAGCATCTAAGCAAACATAAATTGCCTTAAACACGAGATAGTCTAAAGATAGTATAACAGTTGAACCTGGTAGTCTAAAGATAGTATAACAGTTGAACCTGGGTTTGTGTTCCTAACCTCAGATGCATACGAACCCAACAAACCAAATTACCTAACTAGCGATCCTCCAAGTGACGCCTTAGCATATCTCCTAGCCCTCCATGCCACTGTGTCACCAATATCTACACCATGCTCTTTCATAACAGTTGCCTTAAACAGTTTCACATCCCACTTTGGCGCAATCATAAATGTCTCAATGTATCTATGGGCTAACCAACTAGCGGAAACTCTTATATTCTTCAATGCTCTACTACAGGTATGATTCCATTCGAACGATTTAATCTGCCATGATGAATCTTCCTCCAACGGAGAAACCCAAATACGCCATGGACAATTTTTTTCTTTGCAACGACCTTTCAATATACATCTATCATTATACGAGAAGACCACCTCAAATCTATTGTGAATGCTGAAGTTTTTAACCACATCCTTTACCTCCTTTTTGGACCTAAACTTCAGTCCAACCTCAAGCACGGGATCCACCATATCTACATCACCATTAAATTCAGGGTATGTAACAACGTCTTCGTCACTATCAGAATGAACGCTTCGAAGGTCATCTGAGGGTGCATATTCAGAATTTTCAGATTTATATGCTGCTTCCAACGACACTATCTCATTCCTCATGTCCAGTTCAATATTATGGGTAACGTTTTCTTCAAAGAGAATGTCGTCTTCTTCACCAAGGCTATAATCGGAATCATTGAATGTGGCATCTTCTTTATCGGAAGCACTGTTCAAATCACCTAAATAATGGGAGATTATAAACGGAATGAGTTGACTGTGAATTGAAAAAAAAAAGAGAAATCTGTAGGAACCTATGAAATCGTAAATTCACTGCACATATTAATCAAGCATTTTTCCATCTCAGTGGGCCCCACGTGGAATAAAATAGTGCCAAAAAAACCCACAGCACCCTGTCTGTCCCTCTCTGTTTCTCAGACTTTCAATGCCAAAACAAAAAATACCCAATTCAGCTGTAAGAAGCTGAGACACACTAGGACACACGTGAACTGTCCAAAAAGAACCACATGTTAATGGAGACTTTATTCCATTTCAATACAAAAAGAACCAATTAAAGTGGACCCAAAATCTGTCCACAATAGCTTTACCCGAACAATACAGACAAAAAAAACGTTAAAACCGTAATGCTAACCTTCATCTTGTTCCTCCACATCCGACGTGTCGAATAAATTTTAAAAGATTGTGGTCCCCACACTTCGATTTTCGCTGAAAAAATTGCAACCATATTCACGGTCTCGTGCGATTTTTGAAGAAGAAATTGATGATTAAGGTTGATAGGAAGCTTACCTACGGTTTGGGAGTGTCACGGCTGACCTTTGGCCGATGTTTCTGTAGTTTCTTCTCACCGGTTGGAGGTGTGGCGCGTCTGGGCGTTTTATAAATCTCCGATTTGGATGAACAATGAAAGGGATAGGGTTTAAAACTTGAAATGGATGTTTATTCCAAAGGAAATTGCAATTGAGCCCCTCCAATTTTGAAGGGGCCTCGATTTGTTAATGTCAGTTTCAATTAGAACAAATCAGGCCCTTAATTTTGCTCAGTGACCATTTTTGAAAGTGACCGAAAGTTGAGTGACCGTTTATGCAAGTTTTGAACTTCAGTGACCATTTTGAAATTTTACTGTAACTTCAGTGACCATTTGTGAAATTAACCCATATATAAACTATAATTTTGATTTTTGAAATGTAATCTTTAAAGGGTTGATTTCATAAACGGTCACTGAAGTTATGTCAAAATCACAAAACGATCACTGAAATTTAAAACTTGCACTAACAGTCACTGAAGTATCATCCGGTTTCAGTAATGGTCACTGAATGACTTTTTCATTTTAATTGGAACTAAATGGACCAAAATATCTGAAACTTGAACCTTGAGGGTCTAAATCGCAAATTTGACAATAAAACCCCCAAAAGCCATTACTAAATCAAGCATTGACACTGCTACAACAGCCAGATCTCTCACAGAAGTCGGATAAATGGGATCGAGTAAGTGAATCAAGCAGTTCAAATTAACTTCTTTAGCAACAACACACCCAGAATTTTCATCCTCAGAAAGGAGTTGAATTAATGAATCCAATGCCTTGCGCTTGAACTCAAGAACTCCGATCTTAAGCCTTGTAAAGAGGTCCTTGACGAAAAAAAATAGAGGTCCTCTTTTGGGCCATTGGCAGTGGAGTGAGAGAGAACAATGGCAGTAGACTGATGGAGGACCCCAGAGCGGATAAGGAGCTTAAAATCCCTGGTTTGCTTCGAAAGCCAACCAGAGGCCATGTCAAGGTTTGATTGCATGAGGAGTTTCCCGACAGTAAATGAAGGATCGGAACACTGATTGCACAGGATTTCGACACGGTGGAGAGTCAGGAGAAGATCGGGGAGAAGGGTACCCTGTAAAGGGTTGTCGGCCCAGTACGAGGAATCCGAGATTTCAGAAAGAATTGATTTTAATGTACCAAGCTTTGATCGAAGGTACTGCCATCTCGATGTGAAGGAAATAATGGAGAGAGTAGACTGCAATAGATGACGGAGAAGTTGGGTTAAGACTTGATCCAAGAGCCACCTTGTGAGATGCTTCGTCGGTGGTTGTTGCTAGTGGTCTGTGTTTGCTTGGAATCAGAGAAGACAATAGGGGAGGGGATGGGTTGGTTGGGTGGGTAGTTTAGGTCCTCAAGGTTCAAGCTTCAGCTATTTTGGTCCATTAAGTTCCAATTAAAATGAAAAATGTCCTTCAGTGATCATTACTGAAACCAGATGATACTTCAATGACCGTTAGTGCAAGTTTTAAAATTCAGTGATCGCTTTGTGATTTTGACGTAACTTCAGTGACTGTTTATGAAATTAACCCAATCTTTAAAAGTAATACTTCATGTAATTTCCACTATTTACTTTTTGTTATATTTTATCTTTACATAAGCTTAAAAATATTTAATCTACTCTATAACTGTTAGTCTACTAGGATTTTTTTCTTCTATTCGGTTACTTTTGTCCAGGAAACTATTTGCCATCAATGATTATGTAGTTGCATTCCCCATTAAGCTTCTACATCTACACTATTTCCTTTTGCGGCGAATATGACATAAGAAAGAAGGAAATACAACATCAAGCATAGCAAATCAAGGGTTTAGGTGCACGTCACCTCATCATCTCTCAAAGAATTTGTTGAGGAAATTGTACAAGTTTGCGTGGTTCAAGACACTATGCCAATGAAAGACCTATAAACACTGTAATATCTCATGTTAAAACACTTATTTTCTTGGTTAGCCTCAAGAATAGTCTGACCAAATTTATTTTTCATTTGAAAACAACATTAATAAAAATAACTAAAATAACTAATTCCTAAATGACTCCTCTTTTTAATAAATTAAAAATGAATTACTAAATTAAAAATTTCCAAATTCATGAATTAAATTCAAAAAAAGTTATCTTGACAATGCCTATAAGTTGTATAATTTTAATTGTATTATAGGACACAAAATTTGGCCGAGACAACCGTAAAGGGGCTTCAGTTTTTATCTTATTAGAAATCAGAATGTAGGAACAGTAATTTATATCCTTGTTTCTTGTAACTTTATACTTTGTTTAATATTCTTTTCTTTATTTTGCTTTGTGTAGTAATGTTGGGTTAGTTTTGAAACAAAACTTTGGAATATTATAAAGCCAACATTCAATAATCATTGCACAAAAGAATATAAAGTGGAAAAAAAGAGGGTTTGTCAAGTAAAAGTTGTGCTATCAAACATCAATTTTACGTTATTATACATTAAATTTCGAACGTTGGATGGTAGAGAATTGAATGGATGGGGATCAAAGAAGAGGAGTATATGAAGAAAAAGGTACACAACTCGTGTAACACATTCTTGTCATAAAGTGAATAGTCTTGTACTTAAGACAGGAACGATAAAGTATGATATTCTTTTCTGGAACTGTAAGGCGTTACTTCATACCTACTGGTGGAAGTATCATGTAAAGAAGATTTTCAAGATTCACTTCTCCTACATTCAGCATCTTAAAATTTCCAAATATCTTATCTTAATCTTTGCAATTGTCAGATTGAAGATGTCATGAACTTCAAATTCTGAAATGTAAAAAACTTTCTTCTTCTGTAATTGTACAATGTATCATTCGAAATCTTAGAAGTGTTCGGGATTAGCAAGTCTCTTTGTTTGTTAGTCGGATTCATTTTTTCGGATTTCATGAAAATAAGTCGCCATCAAGCTTCCAAATTATATCTGCAACAACAAAAAAACACTGAATTGATAGTCACGACTATCGAAATCGTTACGTCTTTGATACAGTTCCAAAACACATCGACAAGAAATTTAATACAAGCGTGTACCTATTGTTGATGTGTGAAACTAGATGGGGTCTTATGGGTTTTAAATCATTTGTGATTACTGTTCAAGAAACTGTAGAGGGTTGACTGATGTAATTAACCTGTGAAATTCAGACAGTAAATTAATGATTACCGTCCAAATACCGACACCATAGGAAAGACAATTCTGTTATTATCTTCTCAATCAAATCCAAGAATTCACCAGAAAGTAAATAAATACGCACACATACAGATACAGTACATAATTCTTTTATAAATGAGTATGAATGTTAAATCAAGTTATCTAAAGTTTTAGACGTTAAGAAAAGATACGAATTTGACTGCAATTATAGTTTTAACATCACCCAATGTGTAACTTTTTTTGCTATGATCATAAAACATTTTTATCCTAGACTAGTCCTTGAATTTTTTTTTTTTTTTTTTTCAATTTAAACAAATTTCATAACCAATTGTTAAAAAAAATTCACTTTAATGGACAATTT